GAGATATAATTGAATTTAATAAAATCCTGGAAGCTTTTAACCGAGGAAACTGTGGAGAAAGCCTGGGTACCCACGTGCTTATTTTGCGCACGCGCGTATCTTGTGCATTTTCTTTTAAGATTACTGCCACTGACTGTGCAAACAAGTGGTTTGAGGGCTGCCGCTTACAGGCCAGGGTTAATGTTAGACACCTGCTAAAGAAGGATGTTGCAACATCGAGAACCTAGCGAATTGGTCTAGGAGGGCTATTGTGCTATTTATATAATTAGCACAGTATTGTTAGCATTTTTATATAGATTTTTTGATAGTGCTACAAGTTGGGGGCTTTGAAAAAATATTGATGTATGGCTGCTACGATGGCCCAAAGAACTATGGTCTGAAATGAGCCGAATTCCGCCCCAGAGTGTACTTTTAAAGACTTCTTAAGGAGTTGTCTCCAATAGATGCATTGAAAACTTCATGTAGGAAACTTCACATACTTGTTCACCCAGCCACTTACCAGAGTTCTACCAAATGTGCATTTTCGCTGTGAAATATACATGTGTGTAATCCTTCCTTTGTGGCATATGCATGCATTTTAAAGACATGGGTAACTTTGGAAGTGGCACTTACCCTCGGACCAAATATATGTGACCTTTTGGTGACACATGAAATTATCTCTGCCCACTAGGTACATCGTAAAGGGCCCAAATTGGTCACTGTGGTTCCACCTAGCGTTTTGTAATAGGAGTTGTAAATGTTTCATCACTGCATTATAGCTTCATGGAACCACCTAGAAAGGAGCCCTTAGGTTAACAAGTTTGTGACTCAGTTCCACTGGTGCTAATAGAAAATGACATCATTCACATCACCACGAGAGGGAAATTAGATCTGAGCTTCACATTCACGCTGAACCACACAACAAGCAGGCTGGCCCTGCTTCTTCAGAAGTCTGAAAGATTCCTTAGAACAAAGAACAGGGGCTTTAAAATGAGCCTAGGGGAGCCTGCTTAAAGTTGATGACACACCAGACAATTTTATGCAGTATTGTGGCTTCCTCCTAAAATGAGATGTGTAGTTTTTTTTAAGGGGAGTGGCTATCTACCAATGAGAGATGGTGTGAAGTTTGGGGCAGGATCTAGATGCAGCATAGTTAGAAATACTAGAGAAACTTGTGGCACTTTGGTTTGATGTGGGAGATCCATCAGTCTCTGCCAGAACTATGTGCTGGAAGGGTGTCCTACTTCTAGCAGTCAAACTCAGTGGCACAATATGGTGGGTGGAGCTACCTATGCCTGGTAGTGCAAAGCTGCTTTCTGTGTGGCGAGTGTAATGTGTAGATCAGCTCTCAAAACCTAATTAGATTTGGGCATGTTTTCCCCTATAGAAGTGCCTGACTTTGTCATCACAAGAACAGGCCATGTCTACCCTTTTGTGAGTCATATCGTAAATGCATTTGTATCCAAACCTGGTTTCCCACTTTGCACAGTATTATTGTTAACCAGCTGAAAGAGAACAAGAGACCTGTTTGGTGGTCAACCTTTTTTGTCCTAGGGTTTTCTTGCTGCATTTCATTTTTCTAGCATGGTAATAACCCATAGCGTGTTTCCTTTGAGGAATGGAGCCTCTCTTTGTACTTTTGCTGGAATGTCTACCATGTTGGGTTTTTGTATACATTTTTTTTCAAAAGAGATGAAAGAAAAAAAAAACTTATCCCAAAAACCTTTGCACCAGGGCTTTGTCGTTTGTTCTTGGAAAGGGTTTTGGTGGGAGATATCCAGTAGCTGCCTTGTCTCACAACTGTACCACTTAGTTCCATGATCAACATTGTAGTGCCCACGGGTGCCGTGATACCCATTTTCGTCTTTCCAAAGCATCTCTTCCCCAAAGCAAAAATGCAGTTCTGAATTTCCTCCACCTC